AACCTCCTCTTAAGGCACATACCTTCTTCCTTGTAGAATGAGGATTACAGGGATGGCGAAACAACGCATCCACTTTTTTGGAAATTCTTCTGAAAAAGTGGACGCATTCCTTGGATGAGGCATAGCTTTTCCAGGATACCTCTGGAATCCCGGAAAAGATCTACACTCTAGACATAGCCTCAGGGAGCAATGTTCTCCCTCTTCCCTTCCTATCCCCCTACTAGGGACACCAACCAGCCTATTGATTAGAGCAGTGTTTCTCAACCTTTTTTTATTAAGTATCCCTTTTTTTAAAAAATTATAAGTATCTCTTATATAACATAAGTACTCCCAGTACCTACAGTTTTCAGACACACAATTTTTTTTCCTACCATTACAACACATTTGTTTAAACAACTTAATTGTAGCTGGGTGGGTGATGAAATTTTTGAATATAAAAAGTTACAAAAATAATAAAGCACTGTAAAACTTGAAACAAAAATTCAGTTTTCTCCAAATTTCAGTTGTGTTGACATACCCCCCAGACATCTCTCAAGTACCCCTGAGGGTACTTGTACTCTGGTTGAGAATCACTGGATTAGAGCACCGTGAACGTCAAACTTCAAAGGAATTCATACCTGCTGTATTTATGTATTACTCAGTGGATTATCTACAGCCATTATGTGCCTTGCTGTGGGTGGGCTTCTGACGTAGAGTTAACCTTTTGGAACTGGGGAGCAAAGAACAATTAACTATACAGAGGTACCCATAATAATAATTCAAATAATACAGATACCTCCCACGTTCTTCACAGACACATTCTCTAAGAAGTGATGATGGGGAATTTACCCTGTTCTAGCCCTGGCAATCCTGATCTCTAGATAAAAAGAGGACTTTGATATCCAGTGGCCAAACCCTGGCCCTGCCTTATGCTCGTGTGGTCAGTTTCCATCCAGATCTACCAGTTATGTACATTTTACTGATAGTGGACCACTTAATAAGACTAACCCCTCCCCCTCCCCCAAATTTATTAGGAATAGGTGTATAGGAATAGATTCTTAAGTCACCCACTTTAAAAGCTGGAGTGTTTAGACAGCTATATGTCCTCCGTTACATACTTTTTATCTACAATTTGTGACAGTGATAAATTTTCCTTGGTGGAAGGGTTACAGCTATACTATATATCAAATTCTAGAGGGAGGAAAAAAAGAAGAAATGATAAATAACCCGAGTCTGGAATCAAACTGTATAGTTGTGCCATGATTTGTCATCTGCCCGGGATAGAGAGCTTTGAGGGTACTATAATTGAAGCTACTGGCACCAGATATCTCTAAGAGCACATCTACACAGCAGAGCTAAAGCCAAAATAAGCTATGCAACTTGAGCTATGTCAGTTGTGTAGCTTAAGTCAAAATAGTTTATTTCTGCTTTTTGCGCAGTCTCCACAGCAAGAAGCCCACGAAAGAGCACTCTTCCTCCAACTTTCCTTACTCCTTGTAAAATGAGGGTTACAAGAGTCAGTGGAAGAAGTCCTTCAGCTCGACATTATTTTGATAGTGCATTGAAATAATTGCTTGTGTGTAGACATGGAGTATGTTATTTCAGAGTAACAGCAGTTATTCTGAAATAATTCTGCTGTGTAGACATAGCCCAAATGTGTTATATCTTATGGCAGAAGAACCAAAGATAAATAAGATTTTTGTGACTGTGACAGTAAGGGTATGTCTAAACTACATGGCTCCGTTGACGGAGCCATGTAGATTAGTTTACACAAAAAAGGGAAATGAAGCTGCGATTTAAATAAATGCTGCTTCATTTAAATCAAAATGGCTGCCGGGCTGTGCCGATCAGCTGATTTTCGGCACAGCGCAGCAGTCTAGATGGGGAACTGCCAGCCACAAAACCCTTTGTCAGCAGATCCTGTAAGCCTCGTTTCACGAGGCATAAAGGATCTGCCAACGAAAGGTTCTGGGGTTGGCAGATCCCCGTCTAGACTGCCGCGCTGTGCCGACAATCAGCTGATCGGCACAGCCCGGCAGCCATTTTGATTTAAATGAAGCGGCGATTATTTAAATTGCAGCTTCATTTCCCTTTGCTGTCCTGCCTAATCTACATGGCTCTGTCGACGAAGCCATGTAGTCTAGACACACCCTCTAAGATTTTTTAAAAAAAGGTAAGGATCCCTTATTATACAGTGATATAGCTAAAAAGAAGAGTCTCTGTGGCAGTTGATAGATTATACTGAACTAGTACCAACAAAACTCAAAATGCCTTTTTGTGGTGCAGCCTGACCTTAACTGAGGTGGCTCTATGACACTGCAAGATGAAGCCAAGATGACTACAAAGTTTTTGGTCTGGTGAGAAATGATTGCTGTTGACAAATTTGTAAGGCTGTAAAAAAGAGCACCTGAGAAAATGAGAGAAAAAGACCAGCTGAGAAGGGGGGAAAGCAGTAAAAATAATGGCATGACTCTATGGTCTTGGCTACAGTAGCATTTCTTACCATTTGATTTTCCTGTTGCTGTTATTCAATTCCACCAGTATGGATGGCAGGAGCATTTCTACTGTCCACTCAGGTTGTGTCTCATGAGAAATGACCCACTTCTTGGGTCCAAAGTAAGGTTCTTTCTAAGCTTCATGGCAGCCCTGAGCCGTTGGGTGGGGCTCATTAAACAGCTGCAGGGTTGTGCTACTGCGCAGCTTAGAGGGAACCCTGTTCCAAAGAGCACTGGCACTTGGAGCCATGTTGTTAGGAGATAATTTTCAAGGTTCTCGTCTCACAAGAATCTGCTCTCTAATATGTGCACGAGTATCCTAGGGTATGTCTACACTACAGCACTAATTCGAACTAACTTAATTCGAATTAGTTATTTGAACTAAGCTAATTCGAAATAGTGCATCTAGACCTAAAAACTAGTTTGAATTAGCATTTTACTAATTCGAACTAGCATGTCCACATTGAGTGGACCCTGAACCGAGGTTAAGGATGGCCGGAAGCAGTGCCGGCAGGGCATCAGATTGGACTTAGAGCGTGGAGCTGCTGTCTCAGGCTAGCTGAGAGCTGTGCTTAAAGGGACCCGACCCCCATCCCGGACAGACAGTTCTCAGGGGTTCCCCGCTTGCAAAGCAGTCCTGTCTTGGAGTCCCCTGAGTGCCCACACTCGGCACATCACAACACTCGGCCATCAGCCCGGCTGCACTTGCCGCAGGCTGCCATCCAGGGGGGGGGGGCGACAATCGGGGGGCTGCAGGAGAGCTTCCCCCCTGAGGAGCCCGCAGAGCCACCCCAGTCCTCCCCATCAAATGCTCTACTCCATTCCTCCCTCACCTCCTTCCACTTACCCTTCCCTAGCCCCCCTTCCTGATGTACAAAATAAAGGACATGTGTGTTCAAAAATAGAAACTCTCTTTATTGAACAAAACTCTGGGAGACTGGGAAAAGGAGGTGGGAGAGGGGAAGAGAGAGGGTGGGAGAGGGGAGGGCAACTAAAATGATCAGAGGTTTGGAACAGGTCCCATATGAAGAGAGGCTAAAGAGACTGGATCGTTTCAGCTTAGAAAAGAGGAGACTGAGGGGGGATATGATAGAGGTCTGTAAAAGCACGAGTGGTGTGGAGAGGGTGCATAAAGAAAAGTTCTTCATTAGTTCCCATAATATAAGGACTAGAGGACACCAAATGAAAGGAATGGGTAGCAGGCTTCAAACTAATAAGAGAAAGTTCTTCTTCACAAAGCAAATAGTCAACCTGCCAGTTATATGAAGGTCTAATGGGAATTTCACAAATTAAAATTTTGTTTGACACTGAATTTCAGGTATGGAACTAAATATGAATTTTAAGGAAATAACTCCCCTTCATTAAACTTGGATGATACAGTGATTGTGCCAATGCCTGGTTAACAAAAGATTATGGCAAACAGATTTTATCTCAGTCCAGGTTATATGGAAATTAATCTGGTTTGCCCAGACTAACCAGAGCAACCAAGATTGCAATGTGCTATGTCTGTCAAGGTGCTTTGGCCACTGTCTGTCAAAGAGGTTAGCAGTTTGGTAGTTCTGGACTCTCTGTTTCTGGACCAGTATGGCCGTTCTCAGCTCAGGGCCGAGGGTTGGGGGTCTCACTGGACCACCTTGATTTTCATGCACACCTGCTCCTGGGTGGCCAGGCTGGCAGCTCTCCTGCCCCAGACGGCCACCAGGTCCACGATGTCCGCACTAGCCCAGGAATGTACCCGCCTCTTGCGGTCCCGGCACGGCCCCGGGGAGCCGCCAGCCTGGTCCCGGGAAGAGGGGGTGGGCTGGGGGACATCGGGTGGGTGGCTCTGTGCCGTGCCGGGTGCAGGGTCTGCTGGCTGGGTGCTGGCAGGCTTGCACCTGGCACGGGCACCGTAGCCACACCGTGCCCCTTTAAGGGCTCCGGGGCCAGGAGGGGGGCAGACAAGTTTCCCTGGTGGTGCCCAGAGTGGCCACCAGGGAAAGCTGGGGAGGGCTAGCCTCCCACTAGTTCGAATTAAGTGGCTACACAGCCCTTAATTCGAACTACTTAATTCGAACTAGGCATTAGTCCTCGTAGAATGAGGTTTACCTAGTTCGAATTAAGAGCTCCGCTAGTTCGAATTAAGTTCGAACTAGCGGTTTGCCTGTGTAGCACCTATCAAAGTTAATTCGAACTAATGTCTGTTAGTTCAAATTTATTTTGTAGTGTAGACATACCCCAAATGATTTAATCCTATTATAATGTGTATAGAAAATCAAAAGAGTTGAAAACACTCTTCTGTTTTTTTCAAAAGCACTCAAAATTCCAAACAAAAGTGAAACTTCAGTACTAGATCGCCACATAATTTGACCCAATTAATTTGCTAGTCTTTATGGTGCCACAGAGCTCCTCCTTGTTTTTCCTTTCGGTTTTTCCATGGTCAGATTTGTAGATGTGTTTGATTTCCTGTAAAGCTGTTTTAAACTATAAATATCACACAGGTGCTTTTCTGATACACCTGTTCTTTTCTGCTTTTTTTCCCTTTAGCTAGTGCTGCCTGAGTATTCTATCCATAGCCTTTTCTGCATCATGTTCTTGTGTGCTCAGCAATGGCTAACCCTGGGGCTGAATGTTCCTCTGGTTTTCTATCACTTTTGGAGGTAAGGCTGTCTTCTGTGTACCAAACTACTGTCTCATTTGCCCAATCAACATGCATTCATATGGCACCAGATAATGAGAACACAGCAGTAATAGAAAAGATGGATTTCTTTCTCCAGTCTCCCTTTCTGTACCAATAGTTGCATTGGAAGATGAAACTCAGTTCTGCCGTGGTTTCATACTTTTAAGCTTGAAAGGACCTCATACTTTAAGGCTTTGTCTACACTGCAGGGTTTTTGCGCAAGAAACTTTTTATGGAAGAGATCTTCCGTAAAAACTACTTGTGCAAAAACACGACCACACCTCAAAAGCGGATCGCAAAAGCTATGTGTTTTTGCACATGAGATTGTCCACACTTCATGGACGCTCTTGCACAAGAAAGCTCTGATTGCCAGTAACAGAATCGCCATCAGTGCACCTGTACATTTTCTGATAGGCTCTTTTTGTGGAAGAAACCCCCTGCGGAAGGTACACACCTGTATTTTGTGCAAGAGCTGTAGTGCAAAAAGGAGTTATTCCTCATGGGGAGAAGAATAACTCTACCGGCAACAGCCCTCTGTCCTGTCAATTTACTGTATTTTTTTTGCACAAAAACGTACTTGAGATGTGCACCCTCTGCCGGTTTTTGCACAAAAATGGCCATTTTTGCACAAAAATCTTGTAGTGTAGACATAGCCTAACAGTCAGTCTAGAGAAAGAAGAAAACATGAGGCATTCAGGTTCCAGTGAAGAGGATGGAATGGATATAAAAGTTTCTACAAACCTGAATATTAAAACAAATATTCTGGCACTTTAGAGGGCAAAAAGGAATATAGTTTTTGAAATCTTAATTAAGTTAGCTGGCTAACAAGGTATGAGAATTTGGAAATGAAACCGATGAGAATCTGAAAGTGAATCTGACACTAGGCACCGTATAGACACAAAGCAAGCTCTTTAAAATCAGGATTGCCATCTAGAGGTATTGAATGGGCATAGAGATAGAACTACCCTTTTAATTCTTCTGTCAGGGTTCTGGATCATTGATGGGCAGCATCTGAGGGGTGTTTCCTCTTCCACTATCTGTACAATAGGCCAGATTCTTTGATCTACATTTTGAGCTGTTTTAGCTTTGCACAGTGGCTGGATTCTGGCTCTAGGTGTCTTCGGGTGCACTTTCTGTTGGTGTAGAGCTGGTAGAGGCAGCCTCCTCCACTTCATCACAGTGGGAAGGAGGGAGCATTTCAGGAGTGAGACTACACATCACCCTTACCTTGAAATAAAGTGCTATTCCGACAAGTCCCTTAACCCTCTTGGGACAAGAGTTACAGGGACACCGAAATAGCACACCCATTATTTTGAAATATATTTTGAAATAATGGTCTCATTTAAATATGCAGAATTGCTATTTCGGGATACTTCCGGTATCCCGAAATAGCCCCGCTGTGTAGACATAGCCCAGGAGTCAGACATGATGGAGTGGAGCTGCTCTATGCCTGATCTTCCATGGGTAAGGTCACTGAGCAACATTAAGAGTCAGTTACTTCAAGTAAAGCTTATCTTCAGCAGCTGTAATTTATGCTAAAGCCAGACAATGTAATGATCAGGGAACTGCAGCCAGCTCTCTGGTAGCCAAGTCCACAGTGCATCCTAGCAAAGAATCAGCCCTCCAGCTATCCTGAAAATAACTAAGAGACTTCAATTTCCATTGCAGTCAGTATGGCACCTTTCACTAGGACTACATTCCATACAATTTTTAAAAGACATACATGATTTTTATCTTGTCAGGGTCTCTTTATGTCTGTAAGGCTACAGAATGTAGCAGAGACCCACCGCAGTGTAGTAGTGCGCAAAGCAATGTTATGATGAAGAAGATAATTAGGAGTATCTTGGCTTGGAGCTAAAGAGCAGTAGCTCTCTTGTGGTATTTTCTACAAAAGCTCAGTAGTAATGACGAGTGGAGTGGCGCAGTGTATTATTCCTCCTGAGCTTACAGTGACAATCTAATTCTCAGAAAGCTTGTAGTTGTGAATGTGCTTTCTCTGAAGTGAGGTCTAACTACATGAAAGCTAATAGTATTTCTAACACCGTTTTCACAGTGAGGAACACTGAAGTGTCACAAAAACAGGTGTCTGACAAGTGCAAAAAATATATTTAATGTGCAAGGCTAAAGTGTTTGTGGATGGCGAATGTTTACAGCCATGTTTGAGGGGAAGTGCAGTAGAACTTCAGAGATGTGCATGTGTGCTATTACTTATATATTAAGCCTACAATAAGGATCAGGTCCCATTATGCTCATCCAGTACATAAACATAGGAAAACATAAGCCCAATGAAGTCAATGGAGCCGGAATTTCACCTGTGGTCCCTTATGAAGAATGTACAGTCTAAATAAAGATGAGTGAGTGTGACAAATGCTAGAAGGGAAGGAGGGAGAGAGGACTTATTG